TAAACTCTCCCAACTTAAAGTTATTTAATACGTCAACTCTTCCACCTGATTCTATCACGTGTACTCTCGTGACAAAACCTAAAGTCATATTAAAACGGTAACAATATCTATATTATTATGCATTATTGGAAAAAATTTACTAAAAGAACCAGAATCTTTAGATTCAATTTCATTTCAATCTATTTTATCATTTTCATTATTATTTAGTATGACTTGAGCACTTGCAAAAGCAATTTGATCAATAATTAAAATATTTTTTTCTTCAAAAATATTACATTCATCAAAATTCATATAAGTAAATTCAAAATCACTTATTTTACCTAGAAATATTATTTTATTATCACAACTATGTAATAGATATAATTATATAATAGTTTGTTATGATTATATAGTAATATAATAGTAATATGTCTGAAAGGATAATTTTATTGTTACAACTATGTGATAAATATAATTAATACAATAGTAAAGTAAATAGAAACATCATTTTATCAATTCAAAATTTATTTTGATCTTAATTTATAATATAATAAAGAACTCATTTTAATTTATACTTAAAATAAAATATTACTGATTTTATACAGAAGATAAAGATATTATATGTACATATACATATACATATATATATACATTAATAATAATAAAATATTATTTTTCCTCTCATTTATAAATTATTTTCTTATTTTCTCTATTCTGAGACACTTTAATAAATTATTCTAATACTTGATTGACAAATAAAAGTTAGCTTTTACTGAAATGTCTTGATTAGTCTTTCGCATAGACAAATATTATAGTAAAAATGAATTTAACATGATCATCAAAGAAATGTTCATGAAAAAAAATATTAAGTTTAATAAAGCAAAATATCAGCTTAATAATCTTTCCTAAGTTCCCTTCATTGGAATTTAACTTTTATAGCCAAGCATATAAATAAAAAGTTTACATAAGAAAAATATGGATATAAAACAAATTTTTTATTATGATAATAATCAAAAAGAAAGCTTATAAGATTCATAAAGAATCATTGAAGTGTAAATAAAGTCTGGAGAAAGAAACTAGTTGTAAAGATTGTATTAGAATAGTATTGATAAGTAGATTGTTTATTACAGGAACTAGAATAATCCATCTTCAAATAAAGATCTTTCCCAAACAAATGAAAAGCGGAAATCAAGGTTTATTTTGTTTAGTAAAGAAATATCTCGGATAGATTTTCAATGTAGATAGCCATGGCAAAAACATTATACAAATATGGGGTTATCATAGAAGTGAAGTTGCGCGATGATGAAAATTTCATAAAAAAATTGAGTGATCGGCATGTCAATTATAATAATATTAACATTTGAACCCTTGTAAAGGGACATGTCTCTTGACTGGTATTCTGTCAACGAATTTTAATACGCGACTTTTTCATCCTTACCAATGAACATAACATCCGAAATCACAAAAGAACTCAGTTACCCAGTAAGCTGTTTAGTAAAAAATTTTCGCTCACTTCATACAAACGTTAACACGCACCCTTATTAGAGTACTGGGAGAGAGATTCTGCTTCATGGGGGAGTGTGGCAGATTGGGACCTCTACTTTATCAACAATATGCCTGGCGCGTCACACGTTCAATCCCATAGAACACTGGCAAGGGAACTTAAAGCGCTTGTCAATTACTTTGATGAGGGCAGTTGTGAGTGGAACAAAGTAAAAGGGCTCAAAAAAGAGCTAAAGGTCATTTTTTTTTACTAAATCTTTGTTATTTTGAGATCGCGTAAGCTATATCCTGCGTCTTCTGCCGATTGACAGGTATTCTTCTGCTTACCTGGAGTGGATAGCATGTCATGGTCTGGACCAGAAGGTCCCACTATGGTCTGCGTGGCTACGCTATCAAATTTGTTCACAGTCATATCCTGCGTCTTCTGCCGATTGATGGGTATTCTTCTGCTTACCCAAAGTGGTAGCATGTCACGGTCTGGGTCTAAGCTCCCACTGTGATATGCGACTGTGAATCTCCAATATTTATTATCTATATTTACTTACAGTTTTTTCCTCTCTTCTGAACCTTTATTGTTAAAAAAGACAAAAGGTACTATGAATTCAACAATTTGGATGAATCATGAAATGATACAAAAAACCGTCGTAGAAAGTAAAATTAATGAAAGCATCAACAAGGTATTTTTATCATATTTTTCCTGATTTGATTTATTACCTATCTATCTTCTCATATCTTGTATTTATTAGCGTAAAATCGAAAATATAGCGAGGGACGTTACAAGTGCAACAGCAAAAGCGTACTACACGCAAAGTGGCTCGGATTATTATGAAACCAATTCCGAAGGTGCGCAAGAAATGGCACAGAAAAGGTTATGTTCAGATAGTACCAATAAGGTAATAAATTCGGAATATATAATATTTCAGAAAACAGCATTTATATAAAGATTTTATTATTTTTGGGTGTGAATAGGCCAAAGGAAATAATGTGATCAGAGATAACACACCTCTCCAAACTTCTACGTCTGTTAACCAAAACTTACTTGATCGACTGGATAAAGAGAAAGAAAACGCAAAATCAAATATGTAAATGAACTATTTTTGCTGAAGTCCTTTACTATATTATCTATTAACTTTATTGGTATTGTTTGTATTAGTGAACCAATTTGTTCAAATATCATCGATACTACAAATAAGAATTTGATGGCAAGGTTACAATTAGAACGTGATTACTACGTAGAGGCTATTTTTAATGCCACGACAAAATATATTGATGAATTAATTGAGAATGTATGTTTTAAGGCATAAGTAATTTTCATTTTTACAGATTAACTTATATATCTATCTTTTAGAGTCATAATCGCAGTGATCTGCGCAAGAAACTTCAGACTCCATTCCTGCCACCAGAAGAAACATATTTGTTTGAGAAACATTATGAAATTAATTGGGCTCACCGGTTTACTAACAAATTGTGAGCTTAATGTGTCATTTTTGGATGGCATTTGCATTGTCTACATTGAAAATTTTTATTATTTATATTTGATATAATAATCTGTCCCACTTTTTGTTTCATTAATAGGCTATCGTTTTTTGAAGCACCGCGTAACCCTCTTCTGGATAAAAATTCCGAAGGTTGGATTAACTGTCACCTCTTGACCCCATTAATTGATGATTGTTTTTTAACGTGCGAAGAGATTCAGATTCATCGGTGAGCATGAGATTTTCTGGTGGAATTAAAATGGTAGATAGTTATTAACTTTATTTGTTTTCCTAGATGTGAAGAAATGTCTTTAGCTTCAATTGCACGCAAAAATTTATCAAGAGAAGAGTCCAACAAAAAACAACCTGGGCATAAAATCGACATTATATTTCGTGTAGATGATATGGAATATTTTGGAGCAGAGACATTCGTCGATGGAGATTTTCAGAATTCCGGACCAATAAATTACAAACATAAACTATTTAGAGAGATGAAAGACCAGCTAGATCGTTTATTGAAGAAATTAAAATTCACAAAAGAAACGATTAAACTTGTGAAACAGATTGTTTTGCATGGTATATCACATGGCGGTAATTATAGAGTCTATAAAGAAAATTTCGTGCATCAAATGATTTCTCGTCTTGAAGATCAACTTAAATCGATTTTATATTTATTAAGGCTATAATGGGATAGTCTATGCTATGTACTATGACATAAATCTTAAATATTATTTTGTATTTGAGATGTGCCAATATAGAATCGGCACAACATGGAATAGTGTTCCGGATAGTCTCAATATTCTAAAAGATATATTGCATCTAAAGGTATGTTTTTAAATATTGTTTATTTGCCAATTTCATTTCATTTTTTTTAACTATTTCTTTCCGATGATTACAGAAAGGTATAATTCATACTCTTGGGATCGTTACAAGAATTAAAAAAAATGCCCTACAAACGAGATCAAAAGAGTTATTATCAATTGACAATCTGCCCGAAACGACACGATCTCCAAGAAATCAAAAAAAGTAATTTGATCTATAGGCTTTTATTTCTACATTCGTTAATACAAAAACAATTTTTCATGTGATGTATCTGACAAATTGTAAAGAAAAGAGGCATTTGTCACCTCAAATTGAAAACACAACTCAATAAAAGATGATAGTTTTGGTTTAATGGATTGCAAAAGTATATAAAGTTTTATTTCTATTTAATGAGATCCAATTCTTGAAGATGTTCTGAAATAATTATATATGAATTTTCATAGTATTAAACATATCTTAAAATGATTCAGTTTTCATTGCACAATTCATTCTTGAATTGATTCCATACTTACTGCTGATAAAATTATTGGAATTTTCTTTATGAAAGAATTCAATATATTTTTCATGTTGTTCATCTTGTACTTCTATAGCAAATCCATATTCTGGATAACAAATATCTAGTTCTAATTCAAGAAAATGATCAGGTATTTTTTAAGAAATCTGGTTGATGAATATTAGAAAAAGATTGCTTTAAATACTTAATGATAATTTTCTGATATAATTGTTTGTATTTATATTTATAACAAAATGAATACCAGGTATCACTTTTCATATTACCAAGAGATACTGATCTTTTTTGCAACATTATAATAATGGCAATTGATTATTTTTATATTGCTACGGTTACTTTAAATGAAGAGTTTCTTCACTATTAGTAAAAGAGTCATATGAATTGGAAGAGAGGAATAGACTAATAAAATTGGTCAGTGCAAAAATAAGTATCTAAGCCTGTGCCAATTTCGACAGAAATTGTT